AGTGAGCCTCGTCCAGAATATCCTTCCTTAGCTTGTCAACATCTGGGACACACAGTCTTCCTTGATACATCAGTACCCCATCTACCAGTCCAAATTTGGTGCCCTTCCCTTCTAACACTTGCTTCTTGTACTTCTCTAATTCCAAATCTTCACTCTGCTTCTCCTTGATTCGTTCCTGCAGCATAGGACGAATTTTCAAAGTTGCTAGCAACTTTGTTACCTCCTCTAGCTCCAATTCCACGTTCATGGCCCTCAAAGAGACCAACTCCGATAAAGGGCTCTCCCTCTTCCTGCTCAAGGCGTCAGCCACCACATTTGCCTTTCCCGGATGGTACTTAATGGTGCAGTCATAATCGCTCAACAACTCCATCCACCTTATCTGCCTCATGTTCAACTCCTTCTGATCAGTCAAGTGTTGGAGGATCTTGTGATCCGTGAAGATGGTGAAATTCTCGCCGTAGAGATAGTGTCTCCATAACTTCAAGGCAAAGACCATGGCGGCCAACTCCAGGTCATGGGTGGGGTAGTTCACCTCATGGGGTCGTAGCTGCCTCGAGGCATAGGCGATTACCTTCTTATCATGCATTAGTACACAACCCAAGCCTTGGTAGGATGCATTGCTATAAATGGAATACTCCCCACCACTGGTCGGTACTGCCAGCACCGGTGCAGAGTTCAGCTTCTCCTTTAGCAACTCAAACGCCGTTTGACACTTCTCATCCCAAACAAATGCCTTCACCTTCTGCAATAGCTGTGTCATGGGTCGTGCAATGCTGGAGAACCCTTCCACAAACCTCCGGTAGTACCCAGCTAAGCCCAGAAAACTCCGCACTTCGGAAAATTCTTTGGTGGAGCCCAGTTTGTTACCGCTTCAATCTTCTTGGGATCCACTTCAAATCCCCGTCCCGAAATCATGTGACCCAAGAACAAGACCTCCTCCAACCAAAAGTCACACTTCGAGAACTTGGCGTATAGCTTCTCCTCTTTCAATTTCTGCAAAACCACTCTAAGGTGTTCTTCGTGCTCCTCCTTACTTCTCGAGTAGATGAGTATGTCATCTATGAAGGCGATGACAAACTTGTCCAAGTACTCATGAAGAACCCGGTTCATTGGTTCCATAAAAGCTGCTGGTGCATTGGTCAGTCCGAACGGCATGACCAAGAATTCGTAGTGGCCGTACCTAGTGCAAAAAGTTGTCTTGGGTATTGAACCATCTGCCACTCTCAATTGATGATACCCTGACCGTAGATCGATCTTCGAGAACACCCTTGCTCCTTGTAGTTTGTCGAAGAGATCATCTATCCTTGGCAAAGGATAGCGGTTCTTGATGGTAGCCTTGTTCAGCTTCCTATAGTCAATGCACAGTCTCATACTGCCATCCTTCTTCTTCATGAATAACACTGGTGCTCCCCATGGTGATACACTAGGGCGTATGAACCCCTTCTCCAACAGCTCCTGCAACTGCTCCTTCAACTCCTTTAACTCCACTGGTGCCATACGGTAAGGAGGAATAGATATCGGTGTCATGCCAGGAATCACTTCAATATCGAATTCCACCTCTCGCTGCGGCGGTAGCCCAGGAAGATCTTCGGGAAAATCCTCGGGGTATTCCCTGACGACATGTACATTTTCTATCTTCTTCTCTTGCACCTCCTTAACATGAGCTAAATATGCTTCACATCCTTCTTGAATTAATGAGAATGCCTTAACCGCGAAGATTAAGCACCCAGGAATAAGCTTCTTAGTCCCTTTGAACAAAGCAGTGCCCTTTCCTTCCACCTCCAGGCTAAACTCCTTCTTGTAGCAGTCCACCTTTGCTCTATTCTTTGACAGCCAATCCATACCCAAGATGACATCGAACTCGTCGAAGGGTAGTAGAATTACGTTCGCCTCGAATTCGTGCCCCGCCACGAGGATAAGACAATCAAGAATGACCGAGTCCACTATAAGGGTATCCCCCACTGGGGTCCTGACCCCTAAATTCTGCCCCAACCTCACAAATGGGACTCCTAAGGTTCTAGCAAGTTGGTGGAAATGAAAGAGTGCATGGAACCGGAATCAAATAATACAAAAGCAGGCTGGTGGTAAAGCAAGATCATACCAGTCACCACCTCAGGTGCGGCGTCAGCTTCTTCTCTCCTCATGGCAAACAGTCTTGGTTTCCCAGATGCTTGAGATCCTTGCCCGCGATCTCACTCATTGCGGTTGAATCGCCCTACATTTCCTCCCTGCTGGTGATAAGACCGGTTTGGCTGGTTGCCAAACACCTGTTCGGTCTGAGTTCTTCCTCCTCCGCCCCGGACTGATTGTTCGGACTGGGCTCTCCCCTGTCCTCCTCTCCTAGGGCAATCTCTGGCATAGTGACCCGGCTCGTTGCAGTGATAACAGATGCCTCCCAGATGCACCTTACACTCTCCCGGGTGAGTTCTCCCACACTGGTTGCATGGGTCCCGAGGAATGTAGGTCGGCCCTGATCTGGTTGAGCCGGCCTGACTCTGGGTGGCCCCATAGTAGCTCTGGGATGGTCTCCTTCTCTGCTGACTCGGTTGTCCTGGCCCCTCAGACAGGCTAGCAGCCTTTCTCTTGTTCCCTTCTCGTTGCATCCCCTCCTCATACAGAGCTGTATCCGCCCTCTCCAATCGAAGAGCCGCCTGATAAATCTCTTCTATGTTGTTCCAATTCAGTATACTCAACTGACGCCGAAAAGCAGGCTTCAGGCTCTCCAGGTAATGGGTGCGTTGAGCTGCGACATCTTGAAATTGAGGCCCTCCATAGGTAAGTAGCTTGTCAAACCTGGTTGTGTACTCAGTCACGCTTTCCCTGCCTTCATTGCCCCACTTCTGCCTGATCAGCAGAAATTCCCTCTGCTTCCCGATCCGGTAAGCCTCCGGTATGAAGTGGTCTTTGAACAACTGCACGAACTTTGGCCAAGTGATGGTCGGTGGATCCTCTCGACTAGCTGGCTGGGTAGTCCAACAGTTGTAGGCAGCGTCCTGCAGCAAGGACACTGTCAGCAGTACTCTGTCCTCATCATCAGCTCTCATCTCGACCAGGGTACGAGTGACCTTAGCTAGCCACTGCTCTACTTCCATGGGGTCTGTTGAACGACCCCTCCCCCTTAAAATCTTCCACCTTTCTCTTCCGGAACCCTACATAGTCTGGTGGACGCCTCTCTGGTAATGGCACCGGTGGTGTGGGGTGCGGGCCAACACTTGCACTGTAGACGCACAGGGTTTCGTTAGATCTTAGTTATTTCTTCCTTGATATGGTTTAGAGTAGACTGGAGATTCTAAATTCTTAAAAGAAATCCTTGACTTGTTTGGCCAAACTTTGACTTGAAATCTTTAAAACAAAACCTTTAAAAACTGAGACCGACATTCCAATATTTCTTGGGAACCAAGAAACCGAGGAAGACCGGCTCTGATACCAAAATGAAACATCCCACCTCTTTGAATTTGGAAAAAGACATTTCTACCCCGGGGTATATTTAAAAATCTCAAATACACAACTTTAAATAAAATACCAAACTCAAATATCTTAATATCTCAAATCGAAGCCCTAAACACGTGGGCAAAACTCAAATTGTCCAAAAGAAATGAATCTCCAATCTTTAACTCTTAACCATAAAGTCTTAATAACTTGAAAAAGTTCTTCGATGCTTACTCTGACGCCTGGCTCGACATCTCTCAGCGACGCTGGTGTTGAGCTCCTCTAGCTTGCTGATCACAGACTAGCTGGTTAGGATATCCTCCTCTACGATCTGGTGAGTGAGCTGGGGTCAGTCTACGCCCTTACGATAAAATCTATAGTACTTTATTCTTCTCTAAACACTTAACTTCTATTGGTGGAAGTCATTTTGTACTTCCATTCTTAAACAATCTTAACTCATAAAATTCTTCGGGAGTTAAAGTTACTCTCCCTTCTTAAAGCTCAAAACTTGACTTAAAACTTTTGACTGACACTGGGATCCCTCACTAGCTAGTCCGGTTGCCAACTCATACATATGAGAAGCCATTCAGGCTTTTCTTAAATTTAAACATAGTTAGGGAGGTCGTAACTGTCGCAACCATCCCTCCAGGGGTCCGTCGTGTCGTCGCGTCGGCATTTTTGGGAGTCGCCATCGATCTTACTTGGAGTGGATCGAACACTCTTCGGATCGGCTCTAACCTTAGGGTCGGAACCGAGGCTTGGTCTGCGGATTAGAGATATGGGTTCGGGAGTACGGTTACGTGTGGGGAAGTGAAATCACACCCCACAACGCCCTAAATCGGTACTACTTAAGTCGATAAGTTTCATATTAGTTGGGTGTATTTTTAGTAATAATTTTGTAATTTTAGGGGTCCCACTGGACCATTGAAATAATTTTATCGTATTAGTTGTAATTTAATTATACGTCCACTGACGTACAATTTAAAGATAAAGTTAATTGGTTAGTTGGACTCGAACCTTATCGGTTGCCTACGTACCCGTTAGACGGGATCAAAGTCCATGTAGTTCGTTAGAACTTTGATAATTTAGTTGTAACCACGTTCCACTGATCGTGATTCTCGCATTAAGAATTTTGTTAAAAAAATTTTGAATAGGTTATTACGAAGTTGTTAAGAGAAACATAAGAATTTTAGTTGTTAGGAAGATACTTGGTGTATTAGAAAAGAGGCAAGATAAACTTAATCCACAATTTAACAATTCGTATTAAGCACTTTAAACAAATAAAATTGTGCGGGATGATTATAATTATGCATGATGGGCCTGCAGCCCAACTGGCTAAGTTGCAAGCAATGCAGCTCATTTGCCCCTGAGGACACGGGTTCGAAACCCCTCCGTCAGCATTTATTTTTAGTTTCTCGTTTTGTTTCAGAGACGGCGGGAGGGTAAATTTGTAATTACAAAAAAAAATGCGGTGACAGGAGTGTGTAATTAAAACGAAACCCTAGGGGTAAGTTGGTCTTTTTCTGATGGGTATAAATTCAACCTAAAGGCCCTAATCAGACTAAACCCTACCGCCGCTCTCACCTCTCTTCTCTCGTCCCTCGTCTCACTCTCTCTCGTCTCACCTCCCTCCTCTTCCAGAGATCAAACAAAATGAAACCCTAGCCGAATCCAAACATGTTGCCGCTCTCCCTCTCCGTCTCTCGTCTTTCTTTCCATTCCCTCTGCCTCTCCGTCGACGGCGACGGGGAGGGCGGTGGAACTCGTTGGCAACCCTTCTCTCTCTCGTATCCCTATCCTACTCTCTTTTCCTACCCAGCAATCGAAACCAATCGAACTTCGAAACCATTCTCCTCTTCTCTTGCCGCCGTTAGCAAAGACGACCCGACTGAAGAAACTCCTCAGAGCTTCTCCTCTAGCCGCTAACTCTTACTCTCCTCAATCCGCCGTAGGTCGCTGAAAATCGACCGGGGGACCTTCGATCTAAGTAAGATCATGGCATGCAAGTCTATTTTCTTTTGTTTCTGGGTTTTTGAATGAGATTCTAACCTCTTTCGTGTTGTGGGGTTTCGGATATGGACAACAAGAAGAGGTTCGCCGCCGGCGAAAGCGACGATGAGCGAAATGGTGGCCGGAGCCGACAGCGACTCAGGGTCTCGCCGCAGGCAGAGAACCAGTCCGTCGACTGATATTTTTGGTAGGTATGCTTCTGAATTTGTGGCTTGTGTATTTGATATCTTATTCTTAATTCCGATGCTTTATTTTGATTTTGGTATGTGGGTACGTGGAGGAGGGAGCGGTGCCGCCGCCGACGCAGAAACAACTGCCACCAGCCAGAGGAAACACCAGAACCTCTCGAACCCTCCCCTTTGCAGTGACTAAACGAAGAGATTTAGGTGATATCCCCTGTACAACTCGAGATTTATGTATGCCTTCTCTTTAGAAGATTGGGTTCTAAGTAGCTAGGAGTCGACTCCTTAATCTGCTAGTGAATTGTTTTTATGTTAATACTTGGTAAATCGTTTGTTTTGTTGATATATGCTGTGGATTTTGAAATCTGAAATTATCGTGTTGTAGAGTTTTAGTTCAAAACCTTTTAACATAGCCGAAAATCACAGCCACTGCTTGTGATTTCGGACTGAGAAAGAAAATTATGTTCTATGTTTGGGATAGGAGTTTAAGAATATAGTATCGACAATGGTTTGGAAAGAACGATTAAGAAGAATAACCTAAGTCACAGCCACTGCTATGACTAAATCAGAACTTTGGATCTTAATTGATTTTGCCATTAACTGGTTTCTTATGCTATGATTTTGTTTTGTGGGTCGATTGTGAGGTTGAAGGTTTTTTCTATTTAACTGGCTTTTATGTTGATTAGGGATTCACGAAAATTTCAATCTCTGCCTATTATTCTACATGGATAGAACTTAAGTAAACCGACTTGGATACTGTGAATTATGAAGCAGTAATAATCACAAAACAAATCTAGCAAAAAGAAACATACTGATTTATCATGTACATACAAATAATCTGGCTGGTTTGATCCATGATTTAGTTTAAAAACGACAGAAAATGGTAGCAAGAGTAGATCTCTAATATATAGATATCGATCTATCAAACACACATGAATCTAACATATACATATAGGCTACCATGAAGAAACATTCATTTTCTGTTTTCAACTAAGCTTGTTAAGTAGACGAATGAAGACTCTTATACACGGATCAAATATGGGTTTGAGAAATACCAACCTTAACTGCCGAGAGTGTTTTCTTGTGTTTGATTTTCTGCTGGTTGATTGCTATGTCCTCTGCCTTCTGCTTCTATGCCTCCAGAGCTGCTTTTGCTTCTCCTTTCCTCTATCGATTAACTGCTCTCTTCTCCTATCAAAATTGATGTTTACTTTTGTGCTATTCTCCTTATTTTTCTGGAATTCAGAACCCTCAGATCACTTGCCCCTTTTCTTTGTTTTGGTCACTGACCCCTCCTTTTATACCTGGATTTTACTGTTCATTTTGCTTGCTGTCAATGTTTAGTTAGTCCTTGAAAAGGTGGCCGTCCTACTCTTTTGAGGAGGTAGCAGCCATGATTTGTGCCTGCATTTGGTATTACTTTTAATTGTTTCCTTTTTGTTGCATGTTGCTGTGTGGAGAGTTTTTAGTGGTCCTTTGAAGAGGTGGCTGCCCTCCTACTTCTCTAGGACGGTGGTAGTTTCTGCTGCTGCCCCTTCGGCTGAAATATAGGCAGTGGAAATATGGTTGACTGAGTGTCAGTTGACAGGGCTTGATTGTGGACCGAAATGATCGGAGGGTTCTGATTGCTTTCTTCTTCTTTTGCAGGCTTGTAGTTTGTTTTGGGCTTGAAATGATGATCAAAGGAGCCCAAACTGTTAGGACTAGCTGGGCCACCAGATCTGACTAGTGCCATCAAAAAATGAAGACTTGTATATTCTGCCTTTTATGTATGTATAATGTATAATAATGTAGTAATTTGTTTGAAACAACCCATGTATTATTAATCATTATTTATGCTCTTATTATAAAATGTAATCGTTCTTGTATGTTTAGTTTAGACAAACATTTGATAATAAAGCTTGGTTCTTTTAATCAAGTGCCAAATTACAAATCCCAAACCTTCTGATATCTCTTGGCCGCTAAAGTGCCCAATTCGCAACTATACACAATTGGAGGCCGAAAATTTAGGTAGTTTGTGTTTTTCATTGCAAACAATTAGTTTGATCTTATGACCAAATACTCGTTGGTTCATATTTACTTGCTACTGCTAGTCTCAACCAATTCTATCCAACCTTCAACTTCAAATTCTCCTTTCATTTTTTAAGTAAGATATCATTTTGAGTTTTAGGTAGAGTAGTTGCTCCGGACAAAATGTGGTGTCTACAGTAACGATTCATCCCCTTAACATCTGAAACTTATCGTGATGGCTCTTCACCACGATTCTCAAGGGCATAACTGCTGCCCATCTTAGAAGTCTCAAGAGCATAACTGCTGCTCTATCTCAAAATGTCTCAAAAGGCAACGGCCTGGCGCTAGTGACTAAAAACACTTAAAACGACTTCTCCTTCTTGAAGATGAGTTACTTCTTTAAAAAGAACTTCTTCTTAACTTTAACAATAACTTATAAACTTAAATCTTTAATTTAAATAAGAACTCATGCACATTCACATTAAACATAGCATCAAACAAAATCACATATCATCAACCATAAGCACAACAAACAACGACAATCACTTCATCAAAATACTTAAGGCTTGTAATTCTTGAAAGAACACGTAAGGCGTAGAATTTACGCCCTTTACACTCACCTTGTAAAGCTGACTCCTCTATTCCTTACTCGAAGAAATCCCTCCTAGCCGAATTATCTCGGTGAACCTATTAATAAGAAAGTCATCTCCTTAGTCGACCTCTCTCGATTTAGTATTCCCTTTTGGGTCACTAGAACATCCTCTCCTCAACATCCAGCCCTCGAGACTCGCTCCCAAGGTCCCTTAACCCCCTTTAAAAATTTTCTAAAACCAATCCCTTCAAAACCGACCACTTTTCCCTAATTATCTTAGTCTTGGACGAATTTTCCACCTAACTTGAACCCTCTTAAAAAATTTTATAATAATTATCCTACATCCATCATGAGTACTTATACCCTGGAAAATTATCAAACCCTTATAAACTCCTCGGAAATATTTTTATTTAATTAAAACGAATGTTTGAACAACTGTCAACCCAACCGATCACATATTAAGGTCGAACCATAACCCAAAATTCGGGGTGTTACGTTTCCTCCACCCTTATAAAAATTTCGTCCCCGAAATTTGAACAGTAGAGCAATCAGTTGAACGATTTAACGTTGTACTCGAAGGAACTCTGCTAGTTGGGATATAACAATGACATAAAAAATGGAATGAAGGAATAATACAATCTAAATGCAATATTGTGAAAATATACCCTTTTCATATTATTAAACCTTTATTCATTAATATTTTATGGTTTATATATTGTTAATATAAACAAAATAAATGATATTGTGTATACTAATTATCAATTATATTAATATAAAATAATTATATATAATGTAATAATGACGCTCTCATCACGCTTTCAACTTTAAGTTCTTATGAAATAGACGCTCTCGCTCCCACTCCCGCTCTTGCTCCACGAACTGGTTACCTAAGGCCAGATTGATCGCCCACTCCCCCGCCGCATCTACCCTTCTCATCTACAAGCCAACTACGAATCGACGGGTGATTTACAACAAACTCACCACCTGTACCGACCTTCTACACCGATTCCGGTTTTTCGCGGTCAATTTCATGAGAAGTTCGTGCTTCTTCCTGTTCTGGTGACTATTCCTCCACTTCTTAGCATGATCGAAAGCTATTTCCATACCCCTCCGTCTTTGTTTCTCTCCCAACAACGAGTAGATCTTGTCGGGGAAGCGTAAGGAGATTGGGTCGGGAGATCCATCCACTGTTTTTGCGATTTCCACCCTCCTTCCCGACGATTATGGGTTCAGTGAATTCATTGTGCTTTCTAGTTTTTGTCATGCCATGATAAAATCTAAATAAATAAAAACGAACGATTTGGGATAGGAACCGTCGTTTCTATATTCCTAGAAAATGGTGGTAAACACGGACTCAACTATCGAACTGGTTTGGATTAAGATTTTTATCGGGTGTCAGGGAACCATGTAATTATAAATTAGGTTTAATAAAAAACGTGCCAAAACTTGAAATTCAGCATGTTTGACCGACCCTGTGTCAAACTCCAATTATTCTTTACTTTCAAACTTTCTATATGAAAAATAAAAAATAGTGAAAGAAAATAGAAGAATGCAATTTTCCATTTGCGCATCATTGTTTCGGGAAGAAAACCATAAAAAGTCCAAAGGAAACTGAAATTTTTTTAACGTTAAAAATAACCAAATGCAATTTCTGTTTAGTTTTTTGCTAACAAATACCAAACGTTTCCCTATAAAATACACTATAATTTAATCATTATGATATCAAATAATTACATAACATATATTTGAAATAATAAAAATTGGACTAATCGGGTTGGTCGATGTTGAACCATTTAATAACTTTAAAATATATTATATTTTAGATACTAAGATATAAAATAATAGCATAATATATGTTTCAAATTAGGAAAACTAGGCTAATCGAGTTGGATCGTAGGTTAACCATTTAACCCTTGCCGTGAGTTGATGAATGGATTGTTCCATTCGAATTAATAACTTTGACGACAAGATGAAAGTTTTATAAAGAATATTAATTGGCCAACGGGCTGAGTAAAAGCTAGCAACGATTGTGAGATGCTCATTTCTCGCAGACTGGAGGGATAGGCGATTTTTTATCAGGTTTTCTAGAATTCGGTTTCTATAAAATTACTGCACCTACTCATATTACAGGAAATAATATTATTTCACAAGGTAACAGGTACTCAAACTTGGTTAATAAGGCTTGTTTTTTATTGCATCATTCATGCCTCTTTTTTTGCTAAAATTCACTATCTTTATCACGTGTTTCCAAAAAAACTAAACAACAATAATCTATACACCTCATTACATTCTCAAATTTCATTAACTCAAATCCTCCGGCCAACTAGCTAGGGCTCCACGCTAGTTCGATGTGATGGTTGTTGTTCTTTGGCTTGCTTTGTTTCTCCGCCGCCGAGAGGGACTAATTCCAGGGGATACGGACGGTTTCGATGTCAATTAGTGTAGGGTTTTGATTTTTTAATTAATTTATTTGGGACATAAAATAATTAAAATCAAAATCAGGAGTATTTGAGAGTAAATGAGGGGCAATTAAGTAACATGAAAATTCATCTAAAATCATAACTAACTAACATCCATCATATCATAATTAATCAAAATATCTCTAACAGTAATTCATTAAAAACATACATATAATTATTAAAATCTAAAAATCTAAAAACATAATTATAACATACCAAAAAATTGGAGTTTTTGTTAGCATAGTTGCTGGTAGTAGGCTGAAAAGGGGATTTTTGCTTAAATTTTACAAAATTGGAGTTTTTGTAATTCTTCTTGAGCTTTCTCTACACCCCAACAATTGGTCATACTTAGGCTCTCAATATATCCAATTGGGGGCCTAACAATGCTTCGATGCCTACTTATGCTTCTCATTGTTATGCGCATTGTTCGGATTCGTGGATCCATAGTTGTCTTCACTTCTCAACCTTCCCTTCTCTTGGAGAATTATTGTGTGCCTTTCGTTCCTTTGCTGGTTGTTTACGAACACGCGTAGCGTGCGTTTTGTTCCAACTACTTTTTATGTTCGAGGCGCATGATCGGTGGACATGTTTGTTGGGTTTCTGCTTTTCATATGGTCGAGGTAACCAATTGGGTTGTACACTTAGTCTTTGTCCTTCTTCTTGGGATTCTCTCTTTGAGCTTTCTCTACACCCCTTCCAATTGCGCAACAATTAACACTCAGTATATCCAATTGGGCGCCTAACTGTGCTACGATGCCTGATTGTGCTTCTCGTTTTTATGCACACTTATTCGGCTTCGTGGATCCATACTTGTCTTCACTTATTGGTTTTCTTTTGACTTGGAGAATTACAATGCACTTCTTCTTCCTTTGCTAGTTGCTTATGAACACGCGTAGCATGCATTTTGTTGCAACTACTTTTTCTGTTCGAAGCGGACGACCATTGGACATGTCTGTTGGTGTGACCATTGGGCTTCTCCCCTGCCCCCAGTCTGTTCCTTGCAACCCCTTGCTAGAATTTCCTCATCTTTTTCATTACTCTTTGAAAAGGCGCTCGAAAAAAATTACGTTGCAAAAGGACGCACATGTTGCACTTTATTTTCTCTTATAGTAAGTGCTTTGGTAATTGCAAGCGCCTTATGTGCTTCGCGTTGTACAAGTTACCTTCAATCATCATGTTTTGCTCGGATGTAACAAGTGCTTTCGTAGTCACGTGTTTATAAGAGTTCACTTCGAACACAAAAGATTGTATGCGCTTTAAGTATCTCCACGAAACCTTGAATGTTTCGGGCACCCAGACTAAGTCTCATTTCAGATCCGAGTCCATTTTGCTCCCCATGCCCACCACGCTCAGCCCAATAGGCATCCCCGGTAAGGGAAGCGATAAAAAAATTTGAATGAGATTTGAACTGAGCGCCTCAATAGTAAAAATAGCGCATCTCGATCGCTCAGCTAGGCCTACATTCTTGTGTCATCGCTAGAGATCCCCTTTAGTATAGACAAGACATGACGTAGACTTCAACGTTCCTACAATAAAAAACATAAAAGCTCTATATTGGAAGTAGGTGAGACCGAACAACTATTTCACAAGCTTTACCCCCATGAAATTAGGCGAGGTGCATGAATCAATAA